ACCCCGTGGGTGTCGTAAGAGGTGACAGAGGGAAAGAAATCAGGAGATGGGCAACAGCGTCATAACGACTAAAAATAGAAAACTGCGGTTGCCAACCCGCGGTGCCAAGCGTGGCAACTATGGCAAATATCCCCCCTATGAGGCAATCTAAGGGGGTGGGCTATGTTTATGACTTTAATAGGATGTAGGTAACGGTAACACTATTCGACTGAGTATGAGCATAATTAAACATCTCGGGTACACAAGCAGCGTACAATAGTGCGAATCGTATCTGCTGCTACTATCACCGATCCGACTGTAAATCTGTCGTGTATACCATATGCCAGTGGACGGATTGATCAGGAAGCAGAACACACTTCTTTGTTTCGGATTTATTTTGTATTTATTATTTATTACATTCCTTGAATCAGAAGAATACAAAAGGCGGACTTAATTCCTTCAGGCATTCTCTACCTGTCAACCCATGGAGTGGTAAGAATTTGACGTACGCGTAGCAATATTGAATTAAAAAAAAATAAAAATGATACTTAACTAACTACGTAATATATATTTAACTAATAAATAAACTATACAAATACAACCGTATGGGTTTAATTTGTATAGTTTATACATATATACACATACGGATTGGTGGACTTCCAATGTCACAAGGTTTTTCCTTATAACAATTTCCTTTAACGCTCAACACAACATGGTAAAATATATTGTAATTGAATTATAATTAAAATTTAATTATTATATTGTAATTGAAATTTCTCTCGCTCGGGTACATTGAAACTTGTCAGCACTTTGCTCCTAAAATCTGTATAATAAATGCAATGTCACTTGGAAGAGAAGGCCAAATTGGCCTCTAAAAAGCTTGACGTGCTCAGCAGAGCGGGACAGTATTTAATGCCGACACACCGCCTGCAACTTCACAAGGCGCAGGTTCGGCCTCACATGGAATACTGTATCAATCTCTGGGCTAGGGCTCCCCAGTATCAGCTCCTTCCACTTGACCGCATCCAGCGCAGAGCGCCTCAAATCGAAGACGACCTAGTCATTTCCGATCGGCTCGATTCAGTGGCGCTAAGAAGAGATGTTGCATCTCTTTGCGTATTTTAACGCATCTACCACGGGGTGTGCTCTGAGGAATTGTTCGGATTAATTCCAGCCGCTCAATTTCACCGTCGCACATCGCCACAAATCTCGATATACCATCCATACCATCAGGATGATTGGCGGTCCACCGCTGTGCGATCTAGAAGATGTTTTCTTCCTCGTACAACTTCCTTGTGGAATCAATTACCTCCAGCGATTTTTACGGACCGATGTAATTTAGGGACCTTCAAGAATTTTTTTTTATAGGAGAGGGGGCAAACGAGCATGCGCCTCACCTGATGGTAAGTTACTACCACCGCCCATGAACAACTGCAATACCAGGGTAATAGCAGATGCGTTGCCGGCCTTTTAAAGAGGAGTAGACCTACTCCTCTTAACTAAAAAATAAAGTACAATGACTGAACTCATCCTGGCTTTCTCTTTCATATTCATCATCATCATCATCATTACAGCCCTTCACAAGTCCACTGCTGAACATAGGCCTCCCCCAAAGAATGCCACAAAGCACGGTCCTGAGCCACCTGCATCCATCGACTTCCTGCATGTCTTACCAGGTTGTCACTCCATCTCGTGGGGGGACGCCCTACACTTCGCCTACCGGTACGAGGCTGCCACTCGAGAACCTTTCTTCCCCATCGGTTGTCGGTTCTTCGAGCTATATGGCCGGCCCACTGCCACTTCAGCTTACTAATCCGTTGGGCTATGTCGGTCACTCTGGTTCTACTGCGGATATCCTCATTCCTAAGTTTATCACGCAGAGAAACTCCGAGCATAGCCCTCTCCACAGCTCGCTGAGCGACCTTGAGCTTTCTCATCCGGCCAGCAGTGAAGGACCACGTCTCAGTTCCGTAAGTCATCACTGGCAACACGCACTGGTTGTACAATTTCGTTTTAAGGTTTTGAGGTATGTCTGACGAGAAGATGTGTCTTAGCTTCCCGAACGCTGCCCAGCCGAGTTGAATCCGTCGATTGACCTCTCGGTCGAAGTTGGACTTACCTAGTCGGACTATTTGTCCCAGGTAAACATACTCGTCAACAACTTCGAGCTTAGTGTTCCCAACAACTACCGGCATAGGTGTGACATGGACATTAAACATGATCTTTGTTTTGTCCATGTTCATCTTAAGACCTATCCGTTGGGAAACACTATTGAGGTCATTGAGCATAGTGCTTAGGTCCTCCAGCGATTCTGCCATAAGGACTATATCGTCGGCAAATCGAAGGTGAGTGATGTACTCGCCATTGATGTTGATACCGTATCCTTTCCAGTCCAGAAGCTTGAAAACGTCTTCCAATGCAGGGTTGAAGAGTTTCGGGGATATGACGTCACCCTGTCTTACACCTCTCTGCAATTGGATAGGTTTCGTACTCTGGTTCTGTACTCGGATAGCCATCGTAGCCCTACTGTACAAGCACTTGAACACTTCGATATACCGACAGTCAACTTGGCACCGCTGAAGGGACTGCAGCATCGCCCAAATTTCGACGGAATCAAAGGCTTTCTCATAGTCCACATACGCCAGACATAGTGGCAAATTGTACTCTTCGGACTTCTGTACAATTTGCCGAAGGAATATGTGGTCTATGGTGCTAAAGCCCTTTCGGAAACCGGCTTGTTCGGGAGGCTGGAAGTCGTCAAGTCTGCGCGCGAGACGATTCGTAATGACTCTCGAAAACAGCACGTAGACGCGGCTCAGAAGGGAAATCGGTCTGTAGTTCTTCAAGAGAGCGTTGTCACCTTTCTTGAAGAACAAGACCACCGCACTTCTGCTCCACGCCTCCGGTGTAATGCCACCATGGAGGACGGAATTAAAGAGCTTCTGAAGGACTTCAAGTACCGGTCTTCCATCTGCTTTCAGAAGCTCCGCTGTAATTCCATCCTCGCCTGGGGCCTTACCGTTTTTAAGATGCTGGAGAGCCATTCTAATCTCGCTCAGACTGACGTCCGGGATATCTTCGGAATAGTGTCGGATGAGACTCGCTTTTGGATCGTTACTCACACTTGCGTGTGGCTCCAACGATGACGTGTACAGCTGCCCATAGAACCTCTCAATCTCACTCAAAATCTCAGGTGTCCCGGAAACGATGCTGCCACACCCTGTCTTCAGCTTTGACAGTTGGCTCTTTCTGGCAGACAGATCTCTGGCAAAGACTTTGGAGCCTTGGTTCCGCTCGATCGCTTCTTCAATACGAGCTGTATTGAAGTTGCGTAAGTCCCGCCGCATGCATTTGGACATCTGTCTGTTCAGATGCCTGTATGCTGTCAAGTCTGTTGAAGAATGTAGCTTCATCTCCCTTCTAACAGCCATGAGATTAAGAGTGTGATCGGAGAGTTTTTGTGTTCTTCTGCGGCGGGTCTTGCAGAACTTAGCTCCGACCGCATGGACAGTTTCCACGAGCTTGTCATTCATATCGTCCACTTCATTGCAGTCTTCTAGGCACTGAAAACGGTTTTGTAACTCGAGCTGAAAGGTTTCGGGACTTTGGAACAAAGCACGAGGGGGACGGAGCGTTGACTTCATTAGACGAGACCTCTCCAACTTAACGTTTAGATTCAGTGTGCCTCTAACCATTCGGTGATCGCTACCAGTTTTCACCCTCGCGATCACGGAGACATCACTGAACAGTTGTCGTCTGGTCGTCATAATGAAGTCAATCTCATTTTTTGTCGAACCGTCGGGGCTCGACCAGGTCCACTTCCTGTGGGGCCGCTTCTGGAAGAAAGAGTTCATCATAAAGAGTCCCTCTTTCTCCATGAAGTCGGCCAGCTGCTCGCCCCTTGGGTTCCGTTGCCCTATTCTAAATTTCCCTACTTTCAGCTCACCGTTCTCTCTTGTGCCTAGTTTTGCGTAGAAGTCTCCCATTAACACCGTATATTGGGTTTTGGAGGAATGCATGGCTCTAGAGATATCCTCATACATTTCCTCCACCTCCTCATCGGGGTGTGCCGAGGTTGGTGCGTAAACCTGTATGACCTTCAGCGAATACCGTTTGGTGATTCTGAGTATAAGATACGCAACCCTCGTCGACACACTCCCGATCTTTTACAACGTTGTTAACGAGAGACTTGTGGACGATAAATCCGACACCTCCTTGGGACAGATTGTCGCCCTCCCGGTGATAGAGCAAGTTGCCGGATTCGAGTATTACCGTGTCCTCCCCCTCTCTTCGGACTTCGGATAATCCTATAATATGCCAGCGCAACTTGTCTATCTCTTCTTCCAGCTCTACTATCTTCTCGTCAGTCCTCAGGGTGCGTGCGTTGTACGTTGCCAGGTCGAGTCGTCTAAGGTGGCAACCGAACCTCCACCGGAGATTCTTAGCACCCCCTGCCCCGCCGTTACCATGGTCGCCACCGTAGCCAGGAATAGCGGGGCCGCCGGGGACTGGGGGCCGTTTCTTTGTTACTGTCATTCATAGGGGGGTATTTGCCATAGTTGCCACCCTTTTCGAGCGGGTTGGCAACCGCAGTTTTTTTATTGTTAGTTTGTTGTTATCAAGAAGATGCTGCTGCCCATCTCCTGCCTGTTTCCCTTTGTCGCCTTTTACGACACCCACGGGAGGATATGGGGTAGTGGATATTCTTGACCGCCACTACACGGCATATTATACCAACTTAAATGAAAGGTTAAACTAGAAAGCAGCAAAAACTCCAGTAAAAAAGGAACAAGTCATCTTTTTCACACTACGCGCCCCGCTCCACTGCCCGCTCGTAGGAGCACTCAACTCTGAAAAATAGTGACTCAAAATTTAATTTCAGTTGATGAACAAACCTAGGATCAACAAGAGAACACCGTAGACATTATTTTAAAAATATATTTACTTATTTGTCTGTATGAATTGTAATTAAAAAATACGTTTGTTAAAAACTTCTCTACAAATTTCGACGGTTTTTTCAGGGACACCTCGACAACAATACGCTGGACATGAGAAGGAGTGAGCATCGCCATCTGGTACTCCAGATCGCGCTCAAGTGCGCAGATATCTCCAACCCGTGCAGGCCGTGGGAGATTAGCAGAAAATGGAGTCTAAAGGTTTGCGAGGAATTCTTCAGGCAAGGCGACTACGAGCGAAAATTGAACCTGCCTGTTACAGCACTCTGTGATAGGCACACGACCTCGATTCCCAAGATACAAACAGGTAAGTTATTTTTAATTGTTTTCTTTTTTTTTTACTCGTTACCCCCACACTAGGATTTTCTCCTGTATCGTGGAGGCAGTTTACAAACATAAATAGCACGAAGACAAACATCCAGACCCGGAACAATTATTTGTAGGCCATACAAATACTTGTGCCGTGCGGGATTTGAACCCGCGGCCCCAATTGTTAAAATATTTTCGATTAATGAGTAAATATGAGTCTCTGGGAGATGACTGTAGATTTGTTCCGTTTTCTGTAGAGACGTACGTAGAGTCCACGTGCGGTGAAGTTTCTACAGGAACTGTATCCGCGGCTGGTCGTCACAGCTGCTAAGAGGGCTGGTTCTTTTCTAGCTAAAAGGTTAAGTAAATATTTTCAGCGAGGAAACGCAGCCAGCGTTCTTAGTAATATACCGCGGGGAGTAGAACTGTATGATAATTTAAGTTTTTAATTTTAGTATTTTCATTATGTTTATTTATTATTATAAATATTTCAATGTTATTTAAACAAATTATATGAAATAACATCTCAAATTCAAATATCTTAAAAATATGTGGAGCCCAATTTAGTAGGCTCGATCGGGGAACGAGCACGTTCTTACAGAATATAAAAATAGTTGCGTGATACTCATTGTGAAATTTCCAGTCGATACTTCTAAAATAATGTGACAAATATTATCGTTATCAGCAGAACAAGTCGATCAAAGATTTCATTTCAAGCAAATCTCACAGGGAAAGAAAGATTTACGTGTTTACTAATTAAATTACCGTTATTTTAAAAATCTGTTTCCATTTGGCAGCGTCGTTTGTTATGTATAGCTTCTAAAATAGAACATTTCTTGACTAATTGGTGTGATAACAAACAGTTTCTAAATCCGGCTGATCGAAATAAATGTAACATTAACTCGCTTCGTTGAATAAATGAAGATCCAAATATATCTCGAGAAAGAATTTCGATGAAACTAAGTAAAAGAGAAAACTATTATGTTATTAAAAAAAAAACAAATAGAAAGCGTGTATTTTCAATTTCAGTCAGTAGAATTAAAATTTATTTTGTTCGTATATTGCTATTTCTATACTTCATTAATTTCAATCTCGTGTTCTAATTATTTTAACGATTTTATGCAAATATTTTGTTCAATAATTTCTTTAGTACGTTATTAAAACATTCCTTATGCTGATTATGAGCTATAAACTTCTTGGTTTTTTATTTTCCAGGATTTTTCAAGTTTGTAGTCACGCCTTTGATAACCGAGTGGCACAGATTCCTGCAAAATGATTTGTCTACACAGATGTTAGAGAATCTCCTTTACAATCAGAACAAATGGGAGTTGGCGGTAGATACAGAAATTGCAGAAGAGATGCGAACGGAAACATCCGACGCTGATTTGGTGGATGATGATCTTGAGACTTGTTCCGGGACAAATATATCTGACAGCTCAGAATTACTGCTTCCGGGCCGTAGAAGCTCCTTAAACCCAACAAAACCGGGCCTAAGAGAACAGTTGAGGCGCTTCTCAGTACCACTCAATGTTCTCCAAGATTCCAAGTTTAAGAGTCGAGACAGAAGCCGCGCGTCGCCCAGCTTCGATTTTCACAGGGACAATGGTAGTCCACTTGGTAGTGAATATTCTTTACATTCACAGTTGAGCGCTCGTGGACACTATGAATCTGTAAGTGCTGCTGCGGAGAAAGTACTGAGTACTGAGAAACTTCTGCCGAATTCCTCTATAGCGTCAATCACAACGCCCGTTCAAGCTACTAGGCTAAACACCGTAATTAAAGACGGCGGTAGCTGGAAACTTATTCGTCAACAAACCTTCCCGCCTCTGGAAACGGTAGCTCGAGCACATCCACTAGCCTCTCGTCCTCTGCACACGAGCAACGAGGACGCCATAAACTGGTCTCGATTCACGAAATCCGATTTCTTTCAACGCTTCGAAATTAAACGAGACAAATTCAGCTTACTCAAGAAAACTGAAACCGAAAAGACTGGAAACGATGACGCTTCTTCTGAAAATAATAATGTAGATGTAGGTGACAGTGCACAAAGAACAGAGAAGGAGAATTACGAGCTGGTCCGTGTGACTGTCGGCAGCCAACTTAGGGACAATCTGACGGCAGTCACCCTCGACACGTTCGCCTCGGATCAATTGCAGCGGCGCAGAAAATCTATGCCAGCTGATGCTGTGGCATATAGTAAGTGTACATTTAATACCGTTTATTTTTATCAAAAATCTAGTGTTAGTGTATCTAGTGTATCTATTTTGGTATTTCTATTAAAATCGGCTTACGGACTACACTACTAGTTGCGTAGTATAGGATTATTTAGATGAGACAATAGATTAAAAGTATTATCTATTAATCTATTAGCATAAACCATGTTAACCTATGTTGCATATTTTTTGTGAGGATAATAATTCATTAGTAGTAAGAATACAAGAAAGAACAAGTCGCGCACACGCTAACTTTCTTTCTGCTAACATCAATACATAACTGCAATCAACTAAAACTGTGTTAAATGAACAAGAATGAAGAATTCAATAATTTTTTTGATCCCTTAAACTTGAACCATTTTGTTAATAGTAATAATAATGTTTAATTTCAAATTAAAAAGGATTTTCATAAAATATTTCATCTTTATATTCGTATTGCACTCCTGTAATTTGACAAAATAAAAAGTGGTGATCAAAAATAGATCTTTTGTTATATTATTTTTGTTTCTTATTTTTATTGAATAAGGTACACAAACAGACAGTAGTTATATACAGTTCTAAAATTAAAAGTATAATGGTGTTAATCTAAACTGCAACCTAAAAGGTTATACACAGCATAATTATAATTTAGCTGAATCAACAGTATACATGAGATAAAAAATACATTAAATACACAAACACGTAAATTTCTTTTAACTGTAAAATGGTTACCTACTATCGAATGTGTCTAGATGACAGTTACTACGCTTAATCTCATTGTGATCACGGCACAATTATTGATTGCGTTTCATTCCACAGCTCCGAAGGAGAAGAAGATGCGTGAGGTGACTGCAGCCATACCTGAGCTGCTCCGCCGTACTCTGTCCGGGAAAGAGTGTCGGACACCTCGTCGTGGCTCCGCCCCCGCCCCAGTGGCGCCATCCGAACTACGAAGCTTGACAGCTTTAGGAGCCTTACGACACAGTGTGAACGGAGGCAGAAGAAAACCTAGCCCCGTAGTCACATGTCAGCAATGGTTCGCCAAGGCCACGTACAACGTCCAAGAAAAGGCCTTTCCGAATCTTCCCCGCCGGAGCTCGTTACCCGTTGAGGTGATGACAGGTTGAGATCGCTGTGAACGGCTTTTCTTTTTTTTTGTAGTATAATTAACTTCATATATTCAGTTCTTTTTCTCCTGACCATACTTTGGTTTGCAACCGAATATAGTTTATATGTGGAAAGGTCACTGTGGTAGATTTAGTTGTGTAATTCATGTTTACTATTTTATCACAATATCTATAACAATTTGTAAATGGAAGCCGTGGTAGTTCAAGGGCTAAGCACTCGCTGTAAATTTCACAGTACGCGAGCGACCCGGGTTCGATCCCCAACGGCAACAATTAAATTGTTAATTGCAATTTTAAGTGCTGATTTGCCGAGTACTCGACGGTAAAGGAAAACATCGCGTAGTTTCCTGCATGTCTAAGGAATAGAATGCTTCTGAAACATGTGAAATCTTGCAATGCGCACAGAAATGACAGGAGGCCTGTGCGTAGTACTGTGACTTGCATAAAGGGTAGGAGAACCATGATAATTGCAGGCTGTGAGACATTTGTCCTTGGGGTAACAACGCGTTTGCTTGAATTGTGTTTTATGTGCCCAACGGCCAAAGGAGCCACTTCTATCAGGTGGACTGTTATCTCGTTTGTCGAAATCCCCACAACAACTTTCTTACATCCCCTGTTTCATTTCCCTCTATCGCTCCGTAGGACACCCACGGGATAATATGGGGTAGTGGATATTCTTAAACCGCTACTGCATTGACAGTTATGATGTTATAAATCCTCTTGATTAGTAAATATAAGATAGTTCTACTAGTTGGTTACACCGCCATCTATTTGACATTATATAACTTCGCGGGTCGAAGTGGGGTAATTTTAAATATCAGAATAGAATAAGTGCATGGTATTAAAAAAAACATTGTGCGTATAATTTTGTACATTGTATACGAAGTGAAACTTCTTTATGACAGCATAGCATTCTTCTTTTATTTTATATTTTACAAAAGTAGGTTAAATAAGACTTGCACAAAACAAACCGTTACAAGATAACGTGACTTTTTTATATACCGTATTAAATTTCCCCACTACGTCGATGAAAAAATTTCACTTCAAAATCACCTTTCCGTCCTTAGAAGTAGTGACATTTTCCTGTAACATCGTAGTATGTGTTGCTTAATGTGCATTTGAGACTTAATTTTTGTTTCTAACAATTGTTCGCATCTGTGTGTGTTTGTGTATGTGTACTGTACAATCACGTATTCCTTGTTTTGAGTGGGAAAACTGCTCTTTGCAGGTATATCATCCCGATGAGAAGATGAAAACGTCGGAAAGTAAATAAAATGATCAGATTCTACCCATTCTGCATGTTCAACGTTCACACGTTTCGTATGGAAGCCGAACGTTACCTATACGCTTATTTAGTTGGCCGATAAGTACTGAAAGTACTCGGACAAAACGGTCGCACTCACTTAGCTGGCTATTGTGTGCGACAGATACTGCTACGTAGATTGATAAGACCTTGTAAATATCCTTACTTAGCATGCCGATGAGTACAGTGTAATATACCCTTATCATTTGATACAGAAATAACTGTTATTTAAGAATCCCATCGAAAGTGATTTTACTGTCAAGCAGCCGTAAGTAAAAACTACGGTGTACAGACTATGAATTCGTTGGCATGTGTGTGCAGTATGCAAAACTTAACTGGGAGAAGTTTTTGCTGTGAAAACGCGACCTACTCTAAGGTGATTGGACGGGTATAAGTGTAAAGTACACTTTATTGTGTTGTCTGTGAACAGTACTTTGTAAAGATGAACGTTTTGTGCCGTGGAAGTACACTTATAGAGATGCCGCGTTCGTGCACTGGATGTACTCTTTAGAGTGTACCTATTCGGGTAGTGAAAAATACTCTTACGTAGTTGGTTTGTGCAGTGGGAAGTACTTTACAATGTTTGCCGATTCGTTCAGTGGAATGTACTTGTATAAAGTTGGCTGACACAGTGGAGTGTGACTGTTATAATTAGAATAATAATAATTACCTTTTAAGTTAATCAGTTATTGACAATATCGTGTTATGAAGCTGTGTTCTTAGATTATAGTCTTTGAGACCGAGATCAGGTCCAGATTACGCCAGTGACTATTGGCGCAATAACAGATGTTACATTTTAATAAGTTCATTTGTTCAATACCTTAGTACAAATTATTGCTATTATATTTTTCTGTTAAGTATCTAACAATAAGAATCGAACGACTTGCATTTCTCACTCTTTGATTCACCATTACCATTTGAATTTTGACAAAGGACTAATTTTTATTTTAGTCCTTTTTTTAATGTTTTGTGCGCTTTATTCGAGCGAATAGCACACTGATAGGATTGGAGTCTCATAATAAGTAACTTTCAGTATTCGAAAGTTATATAGTCATAGTGTTTAAGTACTTATAGATAATATATATAACTTAGTTTTTAAGTGATCGCCCCTTTTGGTTGTACGGTGTTGAAAATGCGCCGTTTCCTCTGATAATCGTATCTTATATTCAGTATTAAATGTGAATTTAGGACAATCACGTGTCCTTATTAGGATGAGGTTGAGTAGGACTAACATAGTTTCCTATCAGATAGAAAAAAAAAACGGTGTTTTATGAAGAAGTTGTTTGCACTACTTTTGATGTATAAATTATACTGATATAACGATAAAATAAACTTTTATGATTATAAAGATGTTTGCGTGTTTTGAAAACGGTAATACTTAAAAAAATGTAAAATAGGAAAAAAAATGTTATCCTTCCCCCGCCACATGGGGTAAGACTAAGAGTAATGTTTTAGTTTAACCTACGTATTTTATGCAGTTCCTGAAAAAAAATCGTAAACATTAACAATTAGTAAATTTATTTTGAATCTTATGTATAACGTTATAGGTTTCCTTTTTGAGTAATTTGTGTGAATACAAATAAGGGGCAAGACTAACATACAATACAATTCCAACTCTTTATTGCTTTGCTCTGAATTTTTGTTTTCTATTTATTTTCCCTTTGGTACTATTAAGTCTAGTTTCACCCAATTTCATTTGTGGGCCCCGAATAAATTGGGATTGGAAGATTATGATTACAACGCTCGCGTTCTGATTGATTTGGGGTACGAAATGAATGAATAATTATAGTTAAGTATAATTGTAATGATATTTAATTACAATTACCAACCAAGATTTTCAATTTTCTTTTTTTGTATTACCTCTGTTCCTGAATTTATTCAGATCGCGCGCAGATTTTTTGCGTTAATTAAGACTGTAGTAGTCTTAAGTAAAACTATCCACCAGGAAAATGTTCTTTACCTCTGACTTGAGGAAAGACTAACATACATAACAGCTTACATTTTCTAGGTTATGAAATTTTTTCGTTATATATTATAAAAATCGTTTGCTATGACGTTAAATTGATATAACTATTTCAACGTCGATATTCTTAGGATGATGTTTACGTTGAGAGTACTTAGATTATTGCTCAATTTTCACCAAAAATTTACTATAAAACCGGCAACTTTGATAAATTGTTTTCACTTCTAAGATTTTAAGGACGTTTTTGGCCATATTTACTTGCAGTAGCAACATATACGCTTTGAACTGTTTTACAGACTAAGCTAATTTCGTAAGGAAGCTATACTTATCGAGATACTAAGCAGTGATTATCTAGGCCCCGTGATAGTCTTACCCCACCCCACCTAATATATTTTTATCCCCCACTGTATGAAAACTTCACTCTACCCTATGTATAAACTGTTGTAACCATACTAGCAACTGAAAAGTTGAAGTAGTTTCATAAAGAAAATGATTTGTTTCACTCAAGTACGCCATCAGTTTGTACGCACTACGCACGTAAGAATCAATCGCTTCTCATATCAATTGATAACTTGTTTACGGGATTTGAAAAATATGGGGACACATAAATTGGTTCATAATATCTTATAGTCAAGTAAATGTCTTATTTGTATATTTCAAATGATAAAATAAAAAAAAAACTTGTAGTTTGCATGTAATCGTTGTTAAATGTACTTACGTGTTTAGTGGCACGCCGCTGCGTGTGTATCGTAGACATATCACTGTATGTTAACATTATATATGCGTCAACTAATTTGAATGCTTTTTGGATGAAATACGGTGTATGTATATTGGTTTTGTAGGCCACGCAAGCGTGCAATGAGAATTATTTCTGTCAGCAAGATGGCGTACTTTTGTGCGCCCTTTGTACATACTGTAGGGTACGTCTCCATAGAAGATATACGTATTTACAATAAACTTTTACCTTTTACATAATATTCAAATGCTAACCCGTCTCTTTACAAAACGTAGATTATTGACAGACTCGGTTTTAAGCTATGGTTTAAAAAGAGTCCACCTCACGATAGAAGTCCTTAAGGCCCGGCGCACAGCGTTTGCGAAATTCTACATTTGCTGACAAATACCATACTTTAAATTTTAGTCCGCATATTCCCGCAAGGGCTTCTTTCGTGAAATAGATAGTTTATACCTTTTGTAATAAGACGTGACTACGTTCGCGCGCCACTGTGACCACACTATTTTTTATTTATATCGCAAACGTCACTTGTACGAGTACAGACAACATATAATGATCTCCTATTATGTTTTAATTTAATCCAATCTATTGCTTGCTAAAAGTTAAATGGTTTTACAATTATATTTGTGGTAAAATATCTGTCGATTCCAATGGACAACTGCTTGATGTATTTAACAAGTATTATTGTAAACGAACAACAAGGAGATATTTTGGCAAATCTCCTCCACAGTCACATTCGCGCGCGAATTTGATCAATGTTGTGTACTCCTGTCTTTTTCACAGTTCCGGGTCCAGAGTCGTAGTTTTTATTAAGTATCGATAACCTTGTATTATCTGTTACTTATTCTCTAGGCTAAGATTATCTTGTCACAAATAATATATACTCCTCATAAACCGAACTGCCATAGCCCAGTGTTTGTCCGTTGGTCTCCGTAGTGAAAAGCGTTATATCTTTCTTTATAAACACTAAAAATACACGGAAATTTGTTCAAATTCGGTTATAAAATCGAATCAAAAATCTTTTCACGCTCCACACTACTGAGCCTTAAAATGGAAACTAACTGATTTTGAAATTTGTACATTAATTTTAACAGTAATTTAATTTAATTAGTGGTTAGATAACCGTGTGCTCAATAAAACGACTTAAGTATTATGCATTCTAAAACATAAAATAATGAAGAGATATCTATCATTTCTCAATATAGAAGTGTGGGGTTTTCAAAAATGTTACGGACACGAATAAATTTGGTGTTGCCCGTTCATCCGATCTGTCGACCGATCAATCGGACCAATGGAAATGTTTCTCGTCGTCATCGTCATACAAATTTAATGGATGGTAAATCGAGTTTCTATTTGTCTGAAAAAAACTTAGTCGTCATGGAAATAATTTAATCGATTATATGAAAACTGCAATAATTAATTATGAAGAAAAAACGTTGTAATTAATAAAATCATTAAAATGATACAATTGTTCATTATACGAAAGCGGGTCCACATTAATCAAAAATAAAAAAATAAAATTTAAATAAAATTAAATTTTATATTTTAATTCATTGAACTAGGAACAAAAATGATTTTCATTATTCATTTGTTTTTGATGTATACACTGCAACCAGTGAACACAAATAAAACAAGGAACTATTACTTCAAGGGAATCAGGCGCGCAACATGGCACAATATTTCAAACAAACACAATGTGTGTTTGTTCCAAGACTTCATCGCTATTTAGCTGACAGTTTATTATATTTTGTTGACTCTGAACGCTTTGATTGTGCGTTGTTGACCTTATTTTCCGAAAGATTTTGTTTTAAATTATCATACAACGTAATATATTAAGTCGTTTACAACGTTTATTATATGACGCCATTGTGTTCTTGTCACTTGTGCACTTGCACACTATGCAATGCAAATTATAATTATCGTTATTAATAAAGTATTTGAACTAAACTCGTTTGCAGCACTGTGAGGGCATCCACGACTTTTTCTGCAACCAAAGCAGTGCCACTTACGAATGAGGTGAAACACTTGACTGATTCTATAGAGGAAGAAGTTAATTTATTAGAAAAGTATAGAGATTAATGTTTCTTTCTGAAATATTAGCTATATTTTATATTAATTAGATTAGAAATGGAATAACCAAACTGCGGATATTCCGAAAAGTAATAAAATCAAAGAAAAAGTTAAAATGTGTAAAAATTTTAAGAATATGTACTGATGCATTGTTTTGTGTTTATGCATACACTAGAAACCACAAAACTTAAAATTAAATCA